AATTTCGTCGCACACCAAAATGTCGCCCCTGTTATAATGTGAATAACTCTTTTCAGTTTAGAACAATTTGAATTTGGTTCACACTGTTCGATAGCCCAGTCCTTCAGCTATAATCTGGTACTTCATTGAAACATAAGGGTATTCACATAAAATCTCTACATGGTGTTTTCCGACACTGTGCAAAATTTCGAAATATTCAAAAGGCTCTCAAATGGTGAAAAATTTTTTTTTCCCAACTCCGACAACAGAGGCATGAAGATGATCTCATTACCTCGACATATTTCGCGAATCAACTTCCTATCTCTCTTATTTACAGAGTGATCTCAAAAAATCAACTTTTTGGTTTTGCAGCCATAACTTTTTCCACGTCAACCGATTTTGGCTCATTTTGAAGATAAAACTTCAGATGAAGAGATCTGAATATCAGAATCGACTCAAGATGGCTATCAAAGATCTAGAGTGTTCTTGAAAGTGACCCAAATCTGGAACGCCCTTCGAATCTCGGTTGGGAAGAGAATTGAATGAAAATCAACTTGTTCTCGGAAAAAGAATTCATTCTGGATGTGTCCATATTTTCCTCGCTCTCAGAGGTCAAGAATTGTGCGTGAGAAAACACAATTGAAACAATCATGTTCTTGCAAAAACATTAGATCATTTCTCCTCTGTGATGCATGGCCCATCGTAACCAACGTTACAAGAATCACAATGAGTGACTGACAAACCCGACCAGCTGAGGCTCATCATAAATTGTGTACCAACAAGAGCAACGGATTTTGATTTTTTTAATAGATTTTTTTAACAGTTGTCACGTACATAACATGCGATTCAAGAATATGGAAAAGTATTCAAGCGAACAACGTTTATTTATTGTAAAAAAGCATTTCAAAAATGGGGAAAGTTTCACGAAAACAGTCGCAGTAATGCGCCGAACGAATCGACAGTAATAACCAAACAATTCGTGTCGGAGATTAGCCCTTTGAATGGATCGGACTGTCGTGTTTAGCAGATCCGCGATTTGGAGGGAAGATAACCCTTGTTCCCTCATTTGTGGAATCAGTTCCAACTGGTTGGTCGTCAGATGCGGCATCGAAACTATCAAAATCTGTTTATGATTCGAAAACGACGTCTAACCTGACTTGTCAGTCACTTACTGTAATTCTTGTAACGTTGGTTACGGGCCATGCATTACAGAGGAGAAATGGTCTGATGTTTATGCAAGAACATGTTTCAATTGTGTTTTCTCACGCTAATTCTTGAGTACTGAGAGCGAGGAAAATATGGACGCATTCAGAATGAATTGTTTTTCCGAGAATAAGTTGATTTTCATTCAATTCTCCTCCCAACCAAGATTCGGAGGGCGTTCCAGATTTGTGTCACTTTCAAGAAAACTCTAGATCTTTGATAGCCATCTTGAGTCAATTCTGATATTCAGATCTCTTCATCTGAAGTTTTATCTTCAAAATGGGCCTGAGATTTCCAAAATCGGTTGACGTGGAAAATAGTTATGGCTGCAAAACCAAAAAGTTGATTTTTTGAGATCACTCTGTGAATAAGAGAGGTAGGAAGTTGATTCGCGAAATATCTCGAGGTAATGGGATCATCTTCATGCCTCTGTTGTCGAAGTTGGGAAAAAATTTTTTTTCACCATTTGAGAGCCTTTTGAATATTTCGAAATTTTGCACAGTGTCGAAAAACACCATCACCATGTAGAGATTTTATGTGAATACCCTTATGTTTCAATGAAGTACCAGATTATAGCTGAAGGACTGGGCTATCGAACAGTGTGAACCAAATTCAAATTGTTCTAAACTGAAAAAAGTTATTCACATTATAACAGGGGCGACATTTTGGTGTGCGACGAAATTAGTGTTGAGTAGTTTATATAGACTCACCTTCTTTATTCATTTCATTGTTTGAGCAGCATTCAAAAATGTCATAAAAATTCTTCAATATATTTTGGTATACTATTATTCGTCCAGCTGTAATGTTCACAAATTTTTTCGGGGACTCATGTTTAGAAAATTCTAATATTTCCCAATATTTTGTTTTTCATACCATTTTCACTTCTTTGCCTTTGAAGTGGATTATTTTGGGACAATATATGTAACTGAAGTTATTTACCTGAATATTCAACCATAAAATGACTCGTCCTTTCAATCCATTGTAAGAATGTTACTAGCAAAAGAATCATCAAGAACGCTCCATTCGCAAATGAGACAGTTATCCTCCCCGAATCTTTACTGTTTGTTCTTGTCTAGAACACGTAAACGCCGCTGTATCGTTCTCACTCGTGTGCTCGGATGGCCTCTTACGTATAAGACAATAAACGCTGCGAAAAGTTTATAGAAAACAATTTGTTGCTCACATTTCAATCTATCAAAAGATATCATGAGAATCGAAATTCATATCGTGAACTAAAAAGTTATGATAAACTGAAGAGATGAGAATGTAATTTTTTTCGCGAATTCTGTACAAAATGATACATTTTACTTTACTACTTCAATTTCCCAACATATTATATATAAATCGAATCTCCAGAATATGCTTAATCATTCTTTGAAAAGACTGCGTATATAAGTGCTATAATTGTGAAGTTACAAAGGTTTATATATTTACGCGCGAAGTTATTTTTTTCTTAAATTTTCGAGTTTGGCCGCTTATAACTTTTTTCGGTACCATAGAAAAAAGTAGTCAAGCTGGAATATTATGTAAGAATCATTTGTATTCAAGGTGGTGAAGGTCCAATATCTTTCTACTCCGAAAAAAAAAAGTCTGTAAGGAAGAGGATTTCTCCTCGTTCTCCTCTACACTAATAGTACCTTCTGAAAACGGACCCTCTTATGACGTAGAAACCTCATCTCGCCTTAGTTAAAAGAAAATACCAAACGCCCGACGGAGACTGAGGCAACTGATGTATTGATTCTTTCAAATATGATCTCGCGCTAATTCACTCTGTCATAAATCATGTATCATTCATCTCTGTCTGGAATAGTCTTGTTTCAGTATTAGGGTTTTGACGTCACATCATCGCCTCGTTTTCAGAGGTCCGAAAAATCGGGGATTTTGAAATAAAAATTGTTTGTGATACAAGCCCATTATTTCCCAGTATGCTCTCCTCACATCGGTTGAATTCGTAAAATCTAATAAGTATACTTGGTGTTTCATAAATGCCGTTGATTGCATGATTTATCTATCCTGAAGTTTATTGGGCCACCTCGTATTATTGGATCGATTAAGGACATTCATAATATATTTGATGGATGCATCCCATTAAGCTTCATGATATACAGGGTGATTCTTGGATTGAAAAAATTAACAACCACAAAAAAATATTCAAACACCACTATTTTTTTCATAACCCTCTAATTCGATTTCATTTCCGTCGATGTTAGATTTTTACTAAATATACTGCACGCTAGCACAAACCACGCCCACCATAATACGTCATATCTCCAAACATTACCGATATACTCGGAGTCAGCACATCGCATTAAATATACTGTGCTCCAACGCAAGAATACAAGCTCTCTCGTTGTCAATCTCTTGTACGCAGTAAATTCATATACCCAAATGGTCTACTGGTTAGCGCTATGTTTTTTTACTTCATTCTGGTTTTCCTTTTTCATAAAATATTTGGAGTCAAATAGGTTAGTGCGTTTAGGATAAACAGTCTCATTTTATTCAATTTTGTTGAAGAACTCAACTTTTGAAATATATTATTAATCAATGTGTTTCTACACTCCATTCAGTTTTCCTTCCTCAAAAATATTGCAATCAGGGATAGGTTATTAGTTCGTTAAGGATAAATAGTCTCTGAGTTTTGCCTAAGTACTTCGAAGATGAGATATTACGGTGGGCGTGGTTTGTGCTAGCGTACAGTATATTTAGTAAAATCGCATCCTGGTTGAAGGAGTTTTATACAAGCTCTTATCAAATTTAATTTCCAAATTACTTCATCAGTCTGAAGTTCTGATGTTCCATCTAGGGCGATTCGACACCGCTGAGTGCGAATATTTAGGTTCATTGGTGGAAATGGCAATGCAATATGTGAATTGAGAAAAACGTTTAATATCAGTTTGTTGTGTATATCTTCATTACCTAATGCCACCATTTCTTCCAACAGATAAATGTGGTGCGGGAACGAGTTGGCTTATATATTTGTTGTTATATTTTAGTGTTGGGAATGTGATGATTCCCCGGTATACTGATGTTCCCGTATTTCATTTTTCTTTTGAGGCCTATACTGACCCCCGTAACGAATATACATTTTCAAAAGTCCAACTTTAGTGTCTTCTTGATATGCATATGCTAACGTTGATTCTAACAATACACAGTATGCATGGCCAAAAGATTGGAAGTCGGTTGGATATAGGAAAGATGCAAAATATATTAACGCGCACTTCTTACTAGGCGTTTGCGGAAGTTTACTTTCATAATTTTTTCGAAAAGTAGCCATAGGATTGAGTTGGGAAAATATACTCTGATGGGTTGAACCGTTGTCGACTTGGAACCCTGATGAGCTAGCTCTTTTATTAGTTGGGTAGTTGATGAGTTTTTGATGTTGATGAAAGGGGTGCGTTGATGAGTTGTGACGTTGATGAACTGTACACGACAACTGTTTCGCTAAACATTAGCTTCTTTATGGTGTATATCACACTTCCCCAAGTAACATAGGTAATGTGTAGCGAAACAATTGTGTGCAAAAGTGAATCTGTGGAAATTATTACTCAGGTGAGTTTTTCTTCATTGTTTCAATGATTCTTCATCGAGTAAGAGCCGATTCAATTCAATATGTCACAATAAGAGCGGTTTACCTATATTTACTACTAGCCTACCAAGTAGCTAGGAAATCCTAGAATGGTAATTTCTCAGGTTAGTGGTGGAAAAAAATATTATATTTACCTCGAGTGAGAATTTTCACTTTGCACCCAGATGTATAATATACTATTTCTCACTTACAATGATGCCTGAGTATATTCCCTACCTCCTTTCTCACTCAGTACACGCCGATGTTGTTGCCAACCAACCAGGACCCAAAATCGCGACCGAAATTCGCGTTCGAGCTGAATTTGGACGAGAAGACGCAGAAGGGCGGCAAGCTCAAGCAGATGTTCGGCGGCGGCGGCAGATCGGAGGGCGGCAAAAAAGAGAAGACGTTCCTCGGCTCGCCCAAGCTGCATCGGGCGATTTTCCAGAAGCACGGCTCCGGCTCGGACTTGAGCTGGCCGTCGTCGGGTTCTTCGTTTTCGCAGGCGAGTTTTTTTTAACACTGACTGCTCACGCCATGTGTCTTTCATTTCACAACGAGAAAAAAGAATATGCAATGAAAAAAATTCAACTCTAAGCTAACATTATTTTGACATCGCCCCAGGTCACACCAAACCATACCCCATAAGAAATGCACGTAAAGCGTGTTAATCTAGCATACACGCGGCGAACGGCGAAACATTGATGAACGCATTATTATATGTATACTACGATACTGTCTTGGGACCGCTTTTATTCAATCTATTCATCAATGACATTATTGAGGATCTTGGAGTAAACTGTTTGTTATATGCGGATGATCTGAAATTATATAAAAGGATAAAATGCATCAGTGATTGTGCTACCTTACAAATTGCCCTAGATAGGGTATGTTTCAGTCTTTTTGTCTTTTATCTATCTTTTTTTGAATTTATTAAATTATTGAAATTATATCTACTTTTTATTATTTTTTTTATGACAACAACATTTTTACATTCTTCATCTTTTCTTCATACATAGTGTATACATTATCTTGAGAATAAAATGAATATCTGCGACATTCTCTCCTCCGTAACTTCCTTACGTTACATTATATACATTTAAAGCAATATTCATTTTTTTAAACTCATTTTTCCTTCTTGATGTCCATCAGGCATAGTTTAGTGCAGGGTCTTCGGAACGTTCCTCTAGAAGTCTTGACATCAACAACACGGACTATGTCGTCTTTCCCTGGATAGATTGCCTCAATTTTTTCATTTACCCATGTGTTTCTGAGACTGTCACTGTCGGCCATGGTGAGGACATCGCCTACATTCATTGTACATTGTTCTTCCAGCCATTTGCTTCGTTTAACTAGAGATGGAATGTATTCTTTCAACCATTTCTGCCTAAATAAATTTGCCATCTTCTGGGCAGCTCTCCATTTATTCATCAGACAAACTTCAGCACCATCCATTTTCACATCTGAATAATCTAGAGAGTTACTGCCAATTAAGAAATGGTTAGGTGTGAGAGCCTCAGCATCTTCGGAATTCAGTGGTACATGTGTCAGTGGTCGGCTCTTAATTATCATTCCAATTTCTGCGAATAACGATCTGAGTTCATACTCTTGAGGAAACTTTTCTTTCAATACTTCATAAAAGTTCTTCTTCACCATCTGAATCAGTCTCTCCCAAAATCCTCCCATATATGGACTTAGTGGTGAACAAAAGGCCCATTTGGTATCTTTCATGGTCATTGTTCTGGTGATTTCAAGATGATCGAAATTATCGAATTTGATTTTGAGTTCCTTTTCAGCTCCTCGGAAGTTTGTTCCATTATCGGAATAAATCTCTTTCGGAAACCCTCGTCTACATCCTTTTTTGGGATTCCACCAAAGTCCCAATATATTTTCTGAAGACATATTTTCGAGAATATTCATATTCTTTGACTCGTTTGCAACAAGTTCTGGATCCAGCTGATTCAAGACATTTTGAGAATTACAAATCCAATTACATATTAGGAATCCCCCATTCTTATGAATATTTATTATCTGATTGATTAATTTAATAGCCTCCTGTTCATTCACGGCTCCGCCCAAATAATCATCCATATAATGCTTTCGAATGATTTCCTCTGCTGCTTCTGGATAATCTCTTTTGTGTGCTGATGCATTCCGACTCTTGACTTCTTGAGCCACGCAAGGACCGCAAACAGAACCGAAGAAAACAACTTCGATTTGATATACATCAGGTCGATCTAATCCTCTCCATGAAAATCTTTGAGCGCACTGATCTTCTTCTCTAACTTGAATCTGAAGGTACATTCCTTTAATATCTGCCACAAATGCAATATTATTTATTCGAAAATTCATTAGTATGCCTACTAGGGAATTGAACTGATCAGGACCAACCAACAAATTATCATTTAGACTTTGACCTTTTGATTTTGAAGCCGCGTCAAAAACTATTCTCAATTTATTTAGTTTGTGTGGATTAATGACGCCGAAGTGTGGAAGATACCTTGGATGTGAATCATCATAAATATCTAGTTTTTCAACGTATCCTTCTTCAATATATTCACTCATTTTCTTACAATATGAACTAGCAAAATCTTTATTTTTATCCATCTTATTTCCTGTATACTTCAGTCTTTTAAAAAGCAACAGTTCTACTTTCTGGGAGAATTATATCATTTTTCTTCCACAGCAGGCCAGTTTCATATTTGTTTTGCTCTTTCATCATTCTTACATATATATTTATTGATAGAAGAAATTGCTACATTATCCAGTTTCCACTGTTCTTTAACTAAATCGTGAAGTGAATCAATATCATCTTTTTCATAATTATACACGTGACAGGTGAAATTTATTGGATTATACTGAGTAGTTGTTTCCAAATTTCCATGTGAAACCCATCCTAATAATGTTTTGCTCAAAACGGGACCATCCCAACTATCGCTTACTATTTTTCGTGAAACTAGAAGTGGCCAATTATCCTGTCCTATTAAAATTGTGGGTTTGGCATTCGAATAAGATAAATTTGGTCTTGGTAGAATGTGTTACTTTTATTTATATTACCAAAAACAGATGGATCGTAATACAAAAATTCTCAACTTCAATTTCATCAACATTTGGTTGACCTAGACAGATCTTGCAGAAGTTCTATTGAATGACTACTTCACCGATTGTATCAACTCTTTAAATTTTGAAACAGGTTGAATCGAAAAATCAAAAATATCACAATTTTCCATTGACTAACTATATACTACCTTCAAATTTTGTATTCGAGTATATTCAGCTATGCCTGAATCGAACAGGCTAGTCACTGTTCCGAAATAAAATAGTCGTTTTTGAAATTTTGATCTCTTCAACAAAAGAAAGTAGGCCATGAGAGTCTGAATATTTCAGATTCGTGCACAATTTCAGCTCCTTGAAAATCGATCGACGTGTTCCAAATTAGGAGGCTGTTGCCAGTTGAAATCGCATGTATGCGTGGTGTATGTATGTCTCCATTAACTCTTTAACTGCCATGTGTATCTCTGGGAAAAGACAGTAGCTTGGCACAGGTCGCCACGTATATATATATATATATATATAGTAGAAGAAAGGGAAGTCGTTGCTGACACATTAGAGATAAAACTGGCTTGCGATTGCAGCAAAGTGAATGTGAACAGTTTGTCCCAGCTTTCAGAAATGTATATTTCCATCTTCAGGGTCTACTACAATAGATTTTGTATGTGTACAATGACAGTAATATAATGAATGGTTCACTATGATGTTAAGAGGATATTTTGATAATCGATGTAACATTTTTTTAGACATACAGTGTCACGAAACATTTAAAATTCTTGTAAAAGACGAACAAAAACGATAACATAATTTTTACATTAATGGAAATTCTTTTATCCCAATTTAAGACATTGAAACACTTTGTCAACGTTTATCACACGTTGGTCAATTTTTAGGTTATCTTGCTCTTCATCACTTTTGCTCAAGGAAGAATTATAGGTTAATATTACTTGAATGGAGTGCTTGATGTACTTAAGCTTTAACAGCAAGTAGCCTAACTTTCCTTAGGAAGAAATGAATTAAGAAGCATGAGAGCCTTGTCATGAAACTGAGTTAATTTTACAAGTTCGACAAACTGTACATTGACTTTGCGGATAGGGGGACGGCGAAAAGTGGAAACCCATTAAAAACAAAAGAAAAAAAACAACTTTTTCAATTTAATTATTAAACAGCAGAATACTTGGATGTTGAGACTTACGCTCCACAAGTAATCTGTTCTGAAATTCTAAGATAAAAATTATTGTACTGACCAAAAATTTTTTTTAAGGATTTTGAATTGCAAATTTAAATTTTAATTATTAAACAACAGAGTACTTGGATCTTGGATGTTGAGACTGACGCTCCATAAGTCATCCGTTCTGATATTCTAAAATAAAAATTATTATTGTACTGACCAAAAATTAGATGAGTGAGAAGCAATTTTGAATTGAAAATTCAAATTTCAATTATTAAACAACAAAGTACTTGGATGTTGAGACTGACGCTCCAGAAGTAATCTGTTCTGAAATTCTGAAATAAAAATTTGAAAAAAATATGAGAAACAAACCAAAATATTCTCCATACATAACAATTTTCATTGTCATCTCAAATTCTCAGTTTATTTCCTTGCAGACTTTGGAAAGTGCTTATCTGTAAAAAACTTACCTGAGTAATAATTTTCAAAAATTTACCATTGCACACGACAATAATTGTTTCGCTGAACATTAGCTTCTACACGGTGTAAATACGAGTCATATGAAATAAATAATGAACAGGTAAATGTAGGGCGATAGGCATACGAATTAATTATTGAGACGGGCGTACAAATCAGGTGAATATATTCAACACAGCCTATCAGGTCGTTCAGTAGTGTATCTGACCGTTTTCATCCATTGACTTTACTGAAATGCATGTTGGAAATCAAGGAATAAAATTAAACCTTTTGGAATCATCAGAAGTCAATGGATTGAAACGATCAGATACACTACTGAACGACCAGATAAACTTAAACAATAGCACATTGTTAAATTTATTCACCTAATGTTTTCGTATGTCTTAATAGTTAGGCCGTGACCTATCGCACTGGATTTACCTTGTCATTATATTTGTCTTATATTACTTTGTATTTACTAACATATTTCAATTTCATATGAATGAGGCATTTCGTAAAATTAATTTAGTGTGAAGATGCTGATGTTAAGCGAAACAATTGTCGTGTGCAAAAGTGAAGTCGGGAAAATTATTCCTCAGGTGAGTTTTTTCTCATTTTTATGAAGAATTTTCAATAAGTGAAAGCCGATTCGATTCAACATCACAAAATTTCACCAGATAATCCTATTCTAACGGAAATTTACAGAAACAGCGAAACAAGTACACCTCCAAAACCCGCAAATCAAAAATGACCATTGCGATATCTGTTTTCAGCAAATCTCCATGACCCAGAGCACCTACTCCTTGGAGAACTCCCCGACAGCCATGCCCGAACCATTCGCCATGAATATCAGCCCTCACGTCGACTACCCCGGCCTGGAATACCCGCCAGTGTTCGAACCGGAAACGTACTCCTTGGCCGACCCAGAGAGCAGCCTCAGCATATTACGGAAACAATCCAAGAATACCACTCCTTGATGAAAGCCACGTGATATCTACCCAGAGAGCAAAGTGGCCTTTTCGGGTCCACGACGTCTTTTTGCCAAAATACGACCTAATAATGTCGTCATATTTAATGGCGTCTTATTGACGTTCATTCCACCAAATAAGAAAAATAAGTCGATTTCTTACCTTTTCATCTGTTGAATTGAATTTGTGTTTGTATATACAGTGCTTTCATAAAGTACTGAATGAACTCATTTTTAGGAAAATCATCCATTTCTGAGGAATCCGCTGGAACAGGTCGAATTTTAGTTCCAATTTTCCATATTAGTAAGGAAACATTGAATATTGATTGAATAATCTTTATTGTCTAAAATGTATTACATTTCGTCGACAAAGGTATAACATATATATAAAAAACAAACTATTGTAAAAGAAACAAGACTAAAAAAATATTTACACAAAGGGTATAATACGGTACGGTACACACGTGCTTTCACAACTACAGTTAATTAAAATCTTGATGTAGATAGTAACATTTATATTATAGAAAGACTAGAAATTATATGCGAAATACTCTTCCAAACTATAAAAGCACTTTCCCATCACAAGGTTTTTTACCGATTTCCTAAATTGCTTCTGATCATTGATTGCTGTTATTTGTTTCGGTAAATGATTATATATCTGTCTACTTCTATAGATTTGAGAGTGCTTGGTCAAAGTTGATGTGGGGAGTGGAAGGACAAGTATCATCTCCTTTCGTGTATGCCTTTCTGCTCGATTCAAGAACTTTTCTTTATGTTTGTGGAGCAAGCAAACAGTCTCTATAATAAAAATTTCGAATATTGTTGGTATTTTATATTTGCAGAAAATTGGCCTACACGAGTCGCGAATCCTCTTTTTGAATATTATTCTCATAGCTCTTTTTTGAATGACGAATATACTTTGCAATAAAACCTGGCAGGCAGAGCCCCAAAATGGAATTCCATACCTAAGATGACTCTCCATGAGTGAATAGTATGCGGTCATTGAAGCTGAAAATCCGAGTTCACGAGATATGACATTCACGGCAAAGCAACCAGAAGACAATTTCTTTTTCAGTGCATTAATTTGTGTGTCAAACTTTAAATTACTATCAATAAATATACCGAGGAATTTCGTCACAAGCTTACTTTCAACTGTCTGACAACCTAAAGTTACCTGATCCAAATCCCACTTAAATGTGACCAGATTTGTTTTAGAAAAATTCACATATTCGATTCACACCAATTTTTTATTTTTCCTAAATCAGAGTGTATAGTTCGAGTCAAAATGGCCGGATCTCCATTACGCCAAAATACCGTAGTGTCATCCGCAAATGAGGTGAATGTTCCAGATATATCCAATTTAGCCAGATCGTTAATATACAGCAAGAATAAAATTGGGCCCAAGACTGACCCTTGAGGAACTCCGTTTACTATTTTTCCACTTTCGGAAGTATTATTGTTCAGAGATATTTTTTGACTTCTACCAGTGAGATAAGATCTGAACCATTCTAATGTTGTTCCCCGAAATCCATAATGGAAAAGTTTCTGCAGGAGGATCTCATGACACACACAATCAAACGCCTTAGAAAAGTCCAGAAATACTGCCACAGCCACTTCCTTGTCGTTTAGAGTTGTGTAAATGTTTTCAAGCAAATTAAAAATGGCATCTGTCGTATTTTTATCATATTGGAAACCAAATTGTACGGGAGTTAAAATCTTGTGCTTTTCCAAAGAGCCCACCATCCTGCGTTTGACTAGTTTTTCGATGATTTTTGATAACGTTGATAGAATTGAGATCGGTCTGTAATTACTAGGGTCATCAATGGCACCTCCTTTGTGGAGTGGTAACACTTTCGCAGATTTTAAGCGTGAAGGAAACACACCAGTGGTAAACGATGTACTTATAGCTGTTACTAAGGCTTCAAGAGCTTCATCCGGCAATTGAAATAGCAGCTTTGCTGAGAGGTGGTCTTCACCAGCAGAGTTTTTATTTTTGATTTCTATTATCACAGATTTAAGTTCACTCAAATATGTATCATACAAAAAAAGGGAGTCCATAGGAGAGCTCATCTTGTTCAAATTATGAAGTGGATCTACTATTGGTATGATATCTTTGGTTATTTTTGATGCTACTGAACAATAATATTCATTCAAATGATTTAAGTTGATCTTTATTTCCGGTTGATTTTGTTTTTTATTACCTCTCAAGTCGTTTATTATTGTCCACATTTCCTTTGGTTTATTACCTGCCTGATTCAGTCGGTCAGTATAATAGAGATCTTTGGCTAATTTGATAGTTTGTCTGTAAATACGACGAAAGTTATTGAAGTATGAAATAAAAAATATATTGTCACTATGAAATTTTCTAATGGTATGCAGGCATCTTAGATTTTTTGAGGAAATTTTTAGTCCTTTTGTGAACCAGAGTTTGGATTTTTTCCGTTTCAACAAGCGCAGCGGAAATGCTTTATCGAAATTTTCACAAACAAGTTTCTGAAATTCGTTAACTGGATATACAGGGTGATCCACGTTTGAATTATGACGACCACGACAATTTCTGTGAATGGAACTCCCTATATTGTATATACAGGGTGTTTCATTTTTTTGTACCAGGACTTTAACAGCTTGAAGAAGACATTTTTTCAAGATGAAGATCTCAAACAAACATATATGCGTGGGAGCTTCGTTACCGATTTACAGGGTGTCAAAGTTTCAGATTTTCTTTATGTTTTTTGAATGTTCTCCTACAATTTTCGTAATAATTGATTGAAATTTGGTTCACCTAATACACTTCGAAAACTCAATATTCGAGGCTATTGAGCGTTTTTAAATACCTACAGGGTGATAGACTTTCAGGGGTCGTACCCAATTTAACCCTGTAGAAGTTTGTCTCTGCAATTTGGAAACTTTTTGCCCCCATGTATGTTTTACGAAAACTGTATGGATTTCGAGATGAGAACCACTTCTAAGGGTACTGATAAAATTAGAACTGCCGTTCACGAGATTAAATTAAACACCTCGACTGTCAGAAGTGACAGTCTAGCGATAAGGATGGACTTCCAGCGATGTATAGCGCCTAGACCGTGTGTCATACAGTCCCTGATATCGAAAGTTTAACCAGTTCCAATTATACAGGGTGTACTAGAATTTTCTACAATACAATTTCAGATTTTGCAATTCAGTTAGAGAAGTTTTTTCGAAATGAAAACATTTTTTCTTTGTTTGTCCTAGTTTTAATTATAATGGTGTTCAAAAAATTCAACCTAATTTTGCAACTAAATTTCATTTGGTATGGAAGCTTTCGGTCATTCTATTTTCCAATAAAATGTTTGAGCAATGTCAAATAAGTGTGTTTGAGAAATAACGGTTTTATTACAAGTAATTTATTTTTGGCATTTATCTCGAGATCCATACAGTTTTCGAAAAATTTACCTAAAGGCAAAAAGTTTCCAAATTGAAAGGACAATCTGAATCTATGTCCCATTGAAAGCAGGGACGGTACGCAAAAAAGTTCTACAGAGTGAAATTGGGTACGACCCCTGAAAGTCCATCAACCTGTAGGTATTCAAAAACGCTCAATAGCCTCAAATATTGAGTTTTTGAAGTGTATTATGTGTACCAAATTTCAATCAATTATTCCGAAAATTGTAGGAGAAAATTCAAAAAACTTAAAAAAAATCTGAAACTTTGACACCCTGTAAATCGGAAACGAAGCTTCCACGCATATATGTTCGTATGAGATTTTCATTTAAAAAAAATGTCTTCTTCAAGCTGTTGAAGTCCTGCTACAAAAAACTGAAACACCCTGTATATATGCATACAGGGTGTCCGGAAATTATGCGCAAAAAATCAAGGGGGTGATTCTGCATGAGAAAACATGAGATTTATTTCATATATACTCGGGTCCGGAAATGCATAGTTTTCAAGATACAGTGTGTCGAACTTTTTAGAAAAATTCGGTTATTTATGAATATCTCGAATATCCTTCCACCGATTCTCTCTAAATTTGGCAATGATATTCTTTGTCATGAGGGGCTGATTTAGCCATAATTGAATTGGAATTGTGAAATCCAGTGGCGTCCCGGGGGCATCCTACCGAATATTATTGTCAATAAAATGTGCGCCACTGATTTTTTCAAATTCTACATCGTCATATCCTAATGATTGACTAAGAATACACCATTTTGGTCTCCTGAATTGTTTTGCAATTTTGCTGCGTTTCCGTGGAAAAAAATAAATACCAATTCATTGTATAAATTTGTGAAAAACAAAGCTTCAAAAACAGGGGTGAAATTAAATGTGATCCATGTCCATAGACGTAGAATAAGAATGAAGATTCATTTTCTTCAAATATTTCATATTACATGTTTGACATACTTTGTATTATCGAAAACTGCGCCTCCCTGGACCGAGAATACATAGTTCTCTATATACAGAGTGTAGAGTGTGTCAAACATGTATCAAGAAATATTTGGAGAAAATGAATCTTCATACTTATTCTATGGCTATGGACATTGATCACGCATTTATTTTCACCCCAGTTTTTAAAGGAATTTTTTTGGCACAAATTCATGCAATAAATTGGTATTTATTTTTTTTCCATGGAAATGAAGCAAATTTTCAGAACAATTCAAGAGACCAAGGAGTTGTATTTTTAGTTGGTCAATAGGTTATGAAGATGAAGAATTCAAAAAAATCAGTGGCACAAATCTCCTGTGCCTCATAATTCCGATTGAATTATCACTATATCAGCATTGTCGAATTTCAAGAAAATCGGTGGAAGGACATTTGAGATATTCATAAAAAACCGAACTTTTTTAAAAGTTTTTACACACTGTATATTGAAAACTATGCATTTCCGGACCCACGTACATATGAAATGAAATTCTCATTTTATCATGTAAAATCACCCCCTTGATTTTTTGCGCCTAATTTCCGGACACCCTGTATATATATCACCCAATTTTCGGAATCAACATGGAAAGCTCTGAACGCAAAAATGTAATGCAC